TCTCGTGGCGGTGGGTTTGTAAGCTGCTATCTAAGAAGCCTTGGTGCATTTGTGCAGAGAATCTTGTAGGTGGTATTTTCTGTTGCTGCTGAGCAACGGTGGTGGAGGGAATGACGATAAATGTTGTGCAATCAAGTGGGCTGGTGGATGGTGTCAAGATTCTTGAATGTTGTTGGAGATGAACACATCCAGGCAGCTGGGGAATATTATTTCTCGTGAGAGAGAAAAAAAACAGGATTAATATTTTGAGACCAATATGACTGTTGAGAACTGAAAGGCAGAGCCCCATGACAAGTTTGTTTTCAAACTGTAATGCCATGTTTCTGGAAACTATATTGAAGAACTTGGTCTTCAAAAATAAATGTTTATTTCAAGAACAGATGTCACGTGACACTAGTTTATAGTCCCAAAGGTTTATTTGAAATCACAAGCTTTCTGAGCGCTGCTCCTTCGTCAGGTGAACTGGAAGGAAACACACAGGCATGGAATTTTTATGCAGAGAAATAATGCTAAAATAATCCAGGTAGATAAAAGTGTCAAAAGATAAATACAAATGGTTTGAATGGAGTGTTGAAAGGCTGAATAGCAAGTCTTTGCAGGTGATCAAAATTGTCAGACAGAATGAGTAATCTGTTTACAGCTGAGTAGCAAGTGAAGGGATGACCTATGATCCAATTAATAATACAAAAAATCAAAAATAGAATGGTACTAGAGATAAACCAAATGGCTGAAATAACATGAGAGTTGCATGATGAAGGTCTAACCAAAGTAACACGTAATCCAAAACTGTACAAACTATTTAAGGCAGAGCGATAACAACAAGATATCAAGGTGATTGTGTCAAAACAGAACAATAAGGAAGATATTACACAGAATGGTACAGTGGGGGTTACGTGTAACGTGACATGACCCCAAGATCGTGGTCGAGGCCGTCCTCATGGGTACGAAACTAGGCTATCAGTTGTGCTCAGTGATTCTGCATTATTGTATATCTCGAAGGCTATTTTGGAGGACACTTACCTAAAGATCAGAGGCTGAATGTCCATGACTGCTGAAGTTTTCTCTGACTGGGAGGGAACACTCCTGCTTGGTGATGGTTGTGCGGTGTCCACTCATCCGTCGTCATAGTGTCTGCATGGTCTCACCGATATACCTCAGGGCATCCTTTCCTGCAGAGAACAGTGACCACAACACCACACAACCCTGCCACGGCAACCTCTGCAAGACATGTCAGACCATCAACATGGATACTACCATCACATGTGGGAACACTACCCACTATGTACACGGTATATACTCATGTGACTCGGCCAACGTCGTCTACCTCATACACTGCAGGAAAGGATGCTCCAAGGAAAATTATTACCGTCAATGTAACTTTTGGGGGTGAGAATTGTGACGAAGATTTATAATACATTATTATTTGGAAATTTGGATTTTAGAGTAAAGGTAAATGGGATGTTTGTTTTAGTTTTCTGAAGGTGCTTTGTTATATTTTAAAATGTTTTTACTAAGTTGTGTTTTTAAGATCTATGGATAGAAAGGCCAGTAACTGCTAATGGGTTCAGATCAGAAGAAGAAAAAAATCTACACCAGCTGGAATGAAGTCTTCAGCTCTATTAGCAGTCCAAGTAGACACAGTTGGAGAAAAAGCCCTGAGCATTTCTTGGAGTTCAGTGAGGAAAAGTCAGTGAGTTAACCTGTCTTTGTGTCTCTGGGAGAATTGGGAAGAATCACATCTGGTCAATGTACATAAAGTAATTTAAAAAAAATGCTTGTGACTTTGTTAGATGAGTCAGAAATTTTAATGTGAAGAAAGGAGTGCTACTTTCATGGGATTGAGTGTGTGTAAAAGATATTGCTGGTAAATAGCAAAAAGATTCAACCATTTTTATGAAAAATATGACAGTTTTAAAGATCGGCTTATTACACAAATTTAAACTAATAAAGCAATCTTGTTTTGTTAAACATACACAGGCATCTTTGTGTGAATATGTTCACAGTAACCAAATTGCAAAAATAAAACTTATGATCTATCAAGGCAGATTTCACTCTGAGATTAAATTTATCCAATACTACCATCAGCGGGGATCATAACAATTTGGACTATGGAATTTGACTTTGACAAAGTCCTGCATAAGAGATTATTGTGCAAGATTAAAGCGCATGGGATTGGGGCAAGTGTATTGAGATGGATAAAAAACTGTTCGGCAGAGAGGAAACAAAGAGTAGGAATTAATGGGTCATTTTCAAATTGGCAGGCAGTAACTAGTGGGGTGCCACAGGGATCGGTGCTGGGACCCCAGCTATCACAATATATACTAATGATTTGGATGAAGGAACAAAATGTAACATCTCAAAGTTGACCGATGATACCAAGTTGGGTGGGGGGGTGAACTGTGACGAGGATGCAGAGATCCTTCAGCATGATCTGGACAGGTTGGGTGAGTCTGCAAATCACTGGCAGATACAGTATAATTTGAATAAATGTGAGGTTATTCACTTTGGAAGCAAAAACAAAAAGGCAGATTACTACGAGATAACAAGGTGTAGAGCTGGATGAACACAGCAGGCCAAGCAGCATCAGAGGAGCAGTAAGGCTGACGTTTCGGGCC